AAAAAAATGAGTAAGAAACGAAACTATACTGAAAACGAGATTCGATAAACAAATAAACATGACGCGATCATGTGGCAAATATAAGGAGTAACGTAAAGTATTTACCAAAAAAATTTACGTTCCGTACCTTACTATATAAGAGAAGTAACGTAATAGATCATGTGACTTTACGTTACTTACTTTGTCAATTTCCGTTACTTACTTTCTATATATTCTTCTAAACTTGTTAGATCATAATGTAAAATCTCGATCCAGGTCATACAAACTAGTGCAATACAAATTACCATTGTTCTATCTTGAGAAAAGATTAGAAGATAATGTCAATAGTAAAATAATTTATAGAAGTTTTCAATAATGTAAAAAAGGCTTTTGAAAAAATGACACAGCAAAAACAATTTAGCCAAAGAAAAAAAAATTAATATTGAACTATGGACAATCTTTGTTTAAAATAAGGAGATACGTTCCACATGAATTACATTGTTCTTTATTTAATTATTTAAACCAATTATAACCGAATAACCAAATAAGCTAAGATATTTATTAGCCGCAAAATTTACTTTATCTATGGTCAAATTTTGGGGCATTTTTTTACTTTTATAGTTATCATGAGGCATGGAGACAGGACGGGGTAGGGCAGGGTCATGGACTAGGAACAAGACGGTCTTGGACATGACCAAGGACTTTCGTCCGCAGCCAATTTCAGAAATGCTGTGCATAATGCATGTAAGAAGGCTATTTTTTTATTTAAAATTTCTTTAAAAAGATTTTTCTTTTTTTTAGTAAATTATAGTCCTTTTCTTTAATTTGCAAATAAATTTTTCCATAAATAATAATGCATAGGTATTATTAATAAAAAATCATTATCATATTAATTGTGGTCCAGGAAATGTCCGCACAACATTATAATGATGGTGATTCTGGACACGGATAATGGACATGGGACTTTGAAAACATTGTCACACCGATCAAGTGCTAAAACAAACGTGTGATATTAAAGTACGCAAGCATTTTAGAATTATTGCAATACAAAGTTGACGTAAGGCATTACTAGAATATACTATGCTATAAAATAAAAATAAATAAGTACTTGTTCACTTACTTGTTCCGTTTGATTTATTTATAGGTTGACGTTATTATTGTTGAGTATTATGTATGTTTTAAATCTAAAAAAGTACGGTTCAGAGGAATATAATATTTTATTCATTCTATTACATAAACTAGGACCCAGAAATATATATAAAAGGGTCAGGTTTGAGTTTGCGTATTTTGAACTAAAAAAATCATGAAAATCTTTCCTTTTTTAGATAATTTTTGATAATTTCAGTCAGAATTTTATTTCCTATTATAGTAACCGACTGACATTATCATAATTCCGGCTCTGAAAAAATGCGTACAGCTCATAGTAAAAAATTTTTTTCATCACCTGACCCCTATATATATATTTCTGGGTCCTCATAAACTACATAATTGTCCGGAGCGAAGCGAAGGACAATATATGTCGAAAAAAAAATCGATCACGTGAATTTCTCTGTCCGCCACGTGATCACCCAATGAAATCACAAATTTTAGTTTTTCGCTCCGGACTTACAACGGTTCCCGTTTCCTAGTACTTACTATATTAGTTAAGCATTTTTTTTTTATTTTACTTATTTATTTTAATCTTGCCTATTATGGAGAATTTAAATAAAATTGCAATGATAAATTTAATTGCCGATCAATATTATTGTGCTTCCTCTGTGTATTTTTAACTAGTCTTTTTTTGATAATTTTGTTGTCGATCTTAAAATCATTGCAACATAAAATAATTATTTTCATTTTTTTTTCTTTTCCTTTATTATTTTTTAATAATTTTTACATACGAATTAATAACATCATATTTTTTGTTCAAAAATTAATTATTTATTAAAATGGATGAAATTAAATTAAGTGATGTTGTAATTGAACAAATAAAAGACTTCGACTATTGGGAATTGACTGAAGAACAAGAATCGTTAATTGATAAACTAATAACAGACAAAGAATTAAAAGAACGTTATAAAAATTATGGTTTATGTAAAGAATGTAAGCGGTCTAATACTGATTATGATAGATATTGTCAATTTTGTAATTCTAAACATTTTCAACAAAATTTCAAAAATTGGACAAGTGGAAATCATGACGTTGATGAATTTATTCAAAAAGCACAATTAAAAGCTAAAAATTTTGGTCAAGCCATAGAATGGATTAAATATGATAAATTTAAAGATGTTGAATATTTAGCAAAAGGGGGATTTGGAACTACTTTTGAAGCAGTTTGGAAAGATGGCCCTTGGCATGGGTATCTTGATGAATTGGAAAGGGAAGGCGCAACAGAAGTCGCTTTAAAGTGCTTACACAATTCCCAAGATATTACAGCAGATTTTTTAAAAGAAGTAAGATATTTTTTACTGATTTTAGTATTATTAGCCTTTATAAATGTTTAAACTAACTATAATTTTCTTTTAAGATTGAATCAAATATTTTAATATCTGATTATACTGGTGTAGTTCGTTGTTTTGGTATTACTAAAGATCCAAAAACAAATAATTTTATGATGGTAATGGAATTAAAAAATGGTAGTTTAAGACAACATTTAAATAACAACTTCATTTCGCTGAGTTGGAGACAAAAGTTGCGGAGTTTAAGTTTTATTACATGTGGCCTTATATGTATTCATAATAAAGGATTAATTCATCATGATTTTCATTGTGGGAATATATTAATCTATTTTTATTTTTTTGCTTTTGTTACTGATTTTGGATTATGTCAACCTGCTAATGTCAAATCCTCTCAAAATAGTAATAAAAAAATATATGGAGTATTACCTTATGTAGCTCCAGAAGTTTTAAGAGGAAAAGAATATTCTCAAAAAAGTGACATTTATGGATTGGGAATCATTGCATATGAATTTTGTACAGGTTTCCCTCCTTATCATGATATAGCTCATGATGAATTCTTAGCTATGAAAATTTGTCAGGGATTGAGACCAAAAAGTGATTATAAAATTCCTCAACTAGTTGTTGATGTAATTAATCAATGTTGGGATGCAGACCCTTTAAAACGACCTAATGCAGATGAATTAATAAATTTATTTCATGAATTATATATTAAGCTTAATAATAGTGAAGTGGATTCTGTAATTTATAGACAAGTTAAAGAAGCAGATGAAATTAACAAAAAGTCATCTTCAACATTTCAGTCACCATTATCATCTACTAGTACACTCTCATATATAACACATCCTCAAGCAGTTTACACAAGTAGACTTTTAGATTTTAAAAATCTTCCAGAACCTGAAAATGCAGACAAAAATGATGATCTAGAATATTCAGGTAAACATATATAGTTTTCTATAATGATTTAAATTTTTTTACAATGCTAACAACTAATATTTATAGATTCTCTAAAAATGGATTTTACTAAACTTGATATTAATTCTAAAGGTAATTACAGTACTTTTTACATGGATTTTTTTTGATCTACTAGATTTTAACTAAATTGATAATTTATTTTATTATAGATGAAAGTAATTAATGATTACTTTAAAGGTATCATATCTACTATGTTTATTATGTAATTATTTAATTCTATTTGTATTTTTCACTTGGTAAGAGATTGAAGGAATTTTTTATGAATTAAATTTAACAATCGATATAAATTTCCTAATTTAATGATCTAGAGTCTAGATTGGAGTCCTGTACAAAGTCTATTTTTTGAAATCCGGCCTAGTCCGGTCTAGATCCCAACCAGAATCTCATTATTATGGTACCTTTGAGGAAAAAAATTATTTGTTAAAAAAAAATAATAATCTTCACATTTATTTGTTAAAAAACTTTTATATTACTTACTAAAAAAATATCTTTGCATTAAAAATATCATATTTACTTTTAAAGAATTTTTTATACTTGTATTTACCTATTAAAAAAATTTTTTCGTATTATTACTATTTATTAAATAAAATTACCTTTAAATTTATTAAAATTTATTTACTAAAAAAACTATCTATAGAAAGATATTTACATGATTTGTTTATCTACAAAAGAATGAATAAATTGAAAAAGATAAAAAAAGGTTAATCTTTTCATTCTTTATTTAGATTGTAAATTATTAAAGCAAGGTTTTTTTTTAAAAAAATAAATAAATAAATAAAAAGTTGGAAAAATGTAGTATAGCATTTTAAATTTTTTGTATTTTATATCATTTTATTATATAGCTTTTTTATAATGATTGAAATCAAGAGATCAGAAAAATCCGCAAGTACGAGATGATCTATTTCTTTTTTGAGTTTTGTATAGTTGTAGTAATTAAATATATAATCTTTTGTAGAAATCGAACGGATCAGAAGTATGTTTAGTTCCTTTTTTTTTTTTTGTATTTTTGTATTGTATTAAGCTAATTCTTTTTTTGTTTCATAGGAATCGAAAAACTTTGCCTACAGATCGGATTGATCAGAAGAATCAGAAGACAAAAAAAAAATTCGTGTACGAAAAAAAATGTTTAATTCTTTTTTTTATAATTTTTTATAAAAGAAAAAGCGTCTAATTCATTTTTTTTTGTTTTGTAGGAATCAAAAACTTCGCCTATGGATCGGATAGTCAGAAAATTTGTGTACGACCGAAAGAATCAATAATGCATTGTTTTTACGCCAGATTCTTCTACACCAGAAATACTATTTAACATACTTCTCGTCTCTAAAATTGAAAAATATATATGTATATCATCAGGAGATTAAATTGTGCGATTATATACGTAGATTTATCAAATATGTGTAATACCGAAAATCTACACCTTAAAAAAGAGTGTAAATACTCAATTATGTGTAATTTACACCTTAAAACATAGTTTCAGTAATCTTCATCTTATAAGATTACGTAAAATCACATAAATAGGTATTTTCAGTATTTTGCAATTTTAAAAAAAAGCGTGAATACACAATTTAATGTAGTTTACACATGAAATTATAGTTTCAGTAAATTTAATTTTCAAGAATTTACGTGAAATCATATAAATGGGTATTTTAAGTAATTTACACTTTAAAAAATTGTGTAAATACATAATTTTGAGTAATTTACATATAAATATATGGGTCAAAATATTCTTAGTATTTTGTATTTTAAAAAATTATATGTATTTTATATAAATAGAAAATTTTGGCAATTTACACCTTAAAAAATTGTGTAAATACACGATTTTATGTAATTTAAACCTAATTTTTATTATATAAATTAGAATAAATATAAAATATAATGTGTAAAATTAAAAAAAAAGTTAAGTAGTATAGTGGTTAGGTTGTGAGCTATGATATATTAATGATAAGGTATTCGGTTCGGTTCTCAAGGTATGTAAAATAAATTGAAATTAATTTTGTTAAAAAATGTGGAATTTTTTTTTGTTATCGCAATTTTCGAATTACTGAAAACAGTTTAAATAGGAAAATAAAATAAAAAAAATGATTTTTTTCAAAAACCCATGAAAGCAGTAAATTTTATTGCATTTTTAGATAGAGAAGGTGCGATTATAACCTGAAAATGTCAATTTTAGAGCAGAAAACTTAATTTTTTGGCAAGTTTGCATATAAGTGACTTTTGAGATTGTGTGTAACCTAAAAAGTTCTCTACTCTATAAGTAAACTTACCTAAGAGTTGGATTTTTCATCCTAAAATCAAGATTTTCATGTTATAATCGCACCTTTTCCTTCCAAAAATGCAATAAAATTTACTGTTTTCATGGGTTTTTGAAAAAAATCATTTTTTTATTTTATTTTCCTATTTAAACTGTTTTCAGTAATTCGAAAATTGCGATAAAAAAATGTGAGAATTTTCATTATTAACTAGAATATGCGATTTGCTGGGGGACTTCGTCCCCCAAATATAACATATATAATTAAAAAAATTCTTTGATATAAATAAATTGAATTGTTACTGAATAATAAAATTTTATTATAATTAGACCCTATAAAAAATCATGTTTTAATAAGATTTATACAATTTTTTCTTAAAAATAATGTATCTAAACTATATATAAGGATATAGGAAAATGCACAATTCCATATCACAAAAATGCACCATTTGTATGATTGACCATAATTTATACTGAATTTATATTGATTTGATCAAAGAAATTACATAATTTGAGCATAGAATTTACAAGAATTGGTCAATGAATTTACTGCTTAAATTATAATTATTAATATTAGTTGCATTTATATGAATTTAATTTTAAATAATAATATTTTATTAAATTATTAAATCAAATAG